TACCACAGATTTAAAAGTCTTTTCAAATTTAAAAGTTTATGTTGACACCTAAATAAAGCCTACAGAATCTGAGTATCCGAGCATGTAACCACATCCTACCACAAATTCAAATAATAACTCAAGTAATAACTGAATTCAAACATTTAAAATAATGACTTAAATGCAGTTTAAATTAAGTCCAAATGCACGTAGTACTTCAGTGTCTCAGGAAAATAGGGAGCAGGATTTGTTTGGGAAAGCTGTATGGCAGGGAGATAGAAGATATGCAAACTAATATACAGTTGTAAAATGAATCTTAAAAAGTGTTGGAAAGAGGGGGATCTTAAATTAACTGTGAATGTTTACCTCCTGCTGCTAAATAGCCTTACATGGAAAAAAGTACTACAAAATCCAATGTGAAAGTAGGGATGGTACCAATTTGAAGAGGAAATTCCCCTCTAGAAATAGAAATTTCTTTTAGTTTTTTTCCACCACCTCCTTCATTCAAAGATACAACATCTTAGGCCTTTGAAATAAGGGGTGGCTAAATCAGTATGAGGGGTACAATGGCTCAACAGACACCGAGCTTGTCAGCTGGAAGGTTCAAGACCCAAGTGCCACATGAGTTCCCATTACTTGCTCCAGCTCCTGCCCACCTAGCAGTTTGAAATCATGAAAATGAAAGTAAATAAATAGGTAACAGTGTTCCGTGTGCCACGGCATATAGTTATGCAAGTCACATGACCACAGAAATGTCTTCAGACACTTTGACTCCCTTGGCTAAGAAATGGAGATGAGCACCGCCTCTAGAGTTGGACTCAACTGGACTGTGGAAACCTTTACCTTAACGCTGTGTGAGAGGAAAATATTGATGAATAATCTCCAAGAATTTTTTTCTCATTGGAACCATCACAATAGAAGTTGGTTTGCAACTTCTCCCTCTTGGCTTATAGCTTCTCCGTAGCTTTTCTTGAAATGGTTAGAAGAAAAGATCATAACTTTGGAACTCTGGGATATTCTTTTCTGCTTGACTAAGAAGGTAAAAAGGTGAATAATCTACTCCCTTCAGTAATTGCCAGTGTAGATGTGGTAGTTACAGATTAGCAACAAAAGAAACAAAGACTGGAGCAAACTTTTATTAGCTTTAGCACACCAAAACAGAGGGATATTCCTGGAAGGATGATGACATTGCTGGGGAAGTTGAAAATAAATATTATTTAAAAAGCACCAACCTTATCTTGATTGAACCATTTAGAGGTGAAATCTTCTCTTGATTAGTTTAGCACATTGTCAAGAATACTGGTAAACCTCATAGCCAGAGGTGCAGATAATGCTTGTCACACCCAGATATTCATAAAGTTACCCAGATTAAAGTACTGGATCATTATTTTGTTTTTCAGAAAATACTTTTATCATTCCTTAAGTAATTAAGACTACACAAAATATTTCTTGGCTTCTAGGAGTCAGTGATTCAACTTTTAACTAACTCATTATGGAGTGTTACTTCTTAAAATCCAGATCTCTTTCTTAGTTCCAATACTTGGGACATGATCATAGTTGTTTTAAGAGCATTTCCACATGTTAATTCACAAAAGATAAGCTTTTAGAAAGAAAGTCTGTGTTCACATTTATTTCTAAGAATTTTATATTTCAGTTCTAACAATACTTCTAGTTATTTGTTGCCTTTTATCTTCGCTTTCCTTAGGTGGCATACCCAGTAATCTCATACTCCCATTTTATTGCAAGAATAATCCTATGAAGAGGGTTGCATTATGAAATAGTGACTGGTTCAATATTTATTAAGACATATTTAGCTTGCTTGGGTTTTCACTGGCTTAACACGGTATGTGAATCTAACCAGAGGCTTGGCCAAGTCACTCAGTTTGCTCAGATTGAGAAAAAGTATATCTTGCTTTTATTACAATGATGATGAGAGAGTACAAATAAAACATTAAAGTGAAATATCTATGCTTGGAGCACCCAGGAGCAACTTCAGAAGTAGTCATGACCAGCTCTTTAATGATTCAGATAATGTTACTATATGCATATTCCCTTAAGATACAAAATATCTCTTTTGAAGACTCTTCATAATCATAGTATGACAGAAAACAAATCATGGTCAAAATATAATTTATAAAGACCACAAAGGTTGTCAAGCTCTTATCATAGCATTATTGTTTAATATAATTCAGAATTTTAATTTCAGATTTTGAGTATTGAAATAGGTTTGGCAGATCTTCCAGAATGTGATCATTTGTTCTGGATTGGAAGCAAAATGTAATAATCTTTTCATATGCAAAACATAATTTTTGTCCTGCACAATTATGAAACAGGTTACAATATTCTCATGATTTTACTGCTTTTTCTGATTCATCATAAGATTTCGAGAACTGGTCTTAATGGAAGGAAGTATAAGCATTAATTATCATTTCTAAACTAGTTCATTTACTAAGCCTGTTGAATGGTACTTGTTGCAATACCAAATGTGCAGCTTGGTATTATAAGTGTAAATTATGCATAATTAAAGCTAACATAGAGTTTTTTGACTTACTGAAGTATTTCATAAGATTTTCTTACTCTACTCATACTTCTATTCTTCTGTTTTCATTTAAGTGTAACTTTTCTTCTACATCTATACTTTAGCTGTTGAACTTTAAAGATGAAGTTGTAGTCGCTGTATGTCAAACAAAGTGGAGCATTCTGCAACTTTAGGCAGAAGCAAGTTCAATTATAAGTAAATATAGTTACAAGTAGTCCTTGATATGTGACCATTTGTTTGATCACACTTCAGAGTTACAGTGGTCTCGGGGGGAAAATGACTTACAACCATCCTTGAAAATATAACCATCACACCATAGTCACATGATTACATGATTACAATTTGTAATCTTCCCAGCTGGCTTCCAACAAGCAAAATCAATTGGGAAAGGCAGATTTTCTTAAAGATTGCATGATTCTCTTAACAACATGTAGTTTGCCTTAATAACTAAAAAATGGTTGTAAAATCAGTTCCAACCATATGATGACTCACTTAACAACCACACATTGGTTAGTGAATGAAATTCCAATCCCAATTGTGGCCATACATCCAGGTTTAAATGTAACCACTGGAAGTTATATATTGATTGAATTCACACAGGCTTGATTTGAACAATGTTCTTAGCTATAAATCGTAGATATGCCAACCCAAAATAGATTATTATCTTTAGATGCATTTTCCTTATTTTCAGAGATCTGTTGCTAATTCTATGGTAATGGTGCTGTTTCATCCTAAAGTTCTAATTTCAGCATTAGAAAATTCTATTTCAAAGTTACATGAACCCACAACACAGAAACTACCAAACTGCATGTCATTTTATTCGTTTTCCAAGATGAAACTATGAATACATTTTAGGTGATTCAATTCAGTTTTGTTAACTTTGGCCTTTTCCAGTTTAGCTGGGAATTTTAGGAATAGAAGTTTCAACATCTGGAGATCTTCAGGTTGGGAAAAGCTTTTCTACATCGATACGCAGGAACTCTCCAAGGTCCTGTATAAATTTCTAAAAATGTTTTGGTGTCCAACCTTGGCAATTTAAGATCTGTGGACTTCAAATCTTAGAATTCCCCAGCCAGCATAGTTTTAGTTGCTAAAGTTGGACACCCCTTGGTTAAAAATTCTCTAAATTACAGCTTAGGGTTGTTTCAAAATCATAGTTTCATAGATTATCAGGGCCATATATTTTATTGTTTTTTTAGTAATTCCATCCTGCTTACTCCTTTTAACAAGCTTTTAATTCTGTTTCACCTCAGTATGGTTAATAATCTTACAACATAATAGTGTTTAATATAAAGCAATAATGAATATTCTTAACAATTTTTATGTTTTGCTCAGAATAGAGAATAACCATCCTCATAGTACTTAATCATTTATTACCAGATGCTTTCATCTGTAAACAATTTTAGAAGTCTTTAATGTATTGTAGAATGTCTGTAGAATCTCACAAGAATGTCTTTTGATACATGTTCACAAAATATGTAAATCATGACTATTCTCGACTTGCAGCCATTCATTTAGTGACTGTTCAAAGTTACAATAAAAGTCCATTTTTATGACCCTCTAATCCCTTAATTCAGTATAGTTTGGGGTGAGTGGATAGAGCTGAGAGTTTACTGGCTGGATGCCCTTTCTGATGCCATATGGAGTTTGCAGCAGATTTTTTTTTCTTTGTGCCCTAGAAAGCTCTACTGGTAACTAGGATTCAATTCTCAATCTTCAGAGGTGAGCTTCTTCATCACTAGACCATCATGCTGCTCACTGTTCAAAGTTACAATAGCACTGAAAAAAGTGACTTATGACCATTTTTCACATTTATGATCATTGCAGGATTCCCATGGTCATGTGATCAATATTTGACTGCTTGGCAACTAATTAATATTTCTGATGGTTGCAGTGTCTCGGGGTTATGTGATCACCTTTTGTGACCTTCTAACAAGCAAAGTCAATAGGGAAGCCATAACTGTGTTACTAGCTTAACAACTGCAATGATTCACTTAACAAGTGTGGCAGGAAAGGTAGTAAAATGGGGCAGAATTCACTTAACACCTTAGCAAGAGAAATGTTGGGCTTGATTATGGTTGCAAATCGAGGACTATCTGTACACAGTATATTGCAATTTTATTTGTTGTGATTTAAGCAAAGAAATAGTCCAGTAAACCGTATTTGGTATTGCAAGTTTGTTACTAATATATAATGTAAATTTATACATTAATCTATTAATGCAAGTAAAGTTTATAGAGCAGCAACTTATGGTAGGTGTTTCTGAAACACAGAAGACAGAAAGCAAAAAGTTAACTTTTTACTTTTCATTGTTGCAGGAGCTGAGCAAGAGTATAAGCACTAGTAGCAGCAGCAGCAGTAGTAACAGTTTTTCAAAGCCCCATAAATTATCAAAGGAGCACAAGGAAAAATCTTCAAAAGACTCAAAAGAACATAAAAGTGCCTTCAAAGAACCTTCCAGGGAACACAACAAATCTTCCAAAGAATCCTCTAAAAAACCCAAAGAAAACAAACCACTAAAGGATGAAAAAATTGTTCCTAAGATGGCCTTCAAAGAGCCCAAACCTATGTCAAAGGAGCCAAAATCAGAAAATAACATACTGACCATAAGTGGTGGACAGCAACAAGAAAAGAAGGCTGCCTCCAAAAGGCCTCCTGGTCTGGATTCTGAGGACTTTGCAGCCAAAAAGAAGAAGAAAAGTGGATCTGAGACTTTATTTAAAAGTTTTTCTAATGCTCCCCCACTGATACTTACTTGCTCCAGTGTGGAGAAAAAACAGACAAAAGATAAATCTCAGTTTAAAATTGGGAAAGTTAAAATGGAAAGTGAGCCTCTGGAGAAAAAGAAAAATACATTACCACCTTTCGATGATATTGTGGACCCTAATGATTCTGATATGGAGGAAAATGTGTCTTCGAAATCAGAAGTAAGAGTTTGTGCTTATTCTTACTTTGTTGTCCGGTTACAGGCTTTGATTTGTTTACCTAATTTTAAAAAAATCTTTATTTAGCATCCATGTATGCATATATATATATATATATGTATATTGAATGGATTCCATTTGTATCATTAGATAAAATTCGTAGTTTCACTTTACAGATGATTTTGGTTATTGGTTTATTCTAGGGAATTGATTCATGATTGTTTTTATTAATCAAATAAGTCAAGAAATGCGCGCTTTTTCAGTGTTGCCAGGAAATAAATATTTATGCTTTTTGAGTAGGAGTGACTTGCGTGACTATGTTTGTCTGTTTGTGCTGTGCAAAGTCAATAGAGGAGATATATTATGGAAGCAGTATGTATGTGTGTATGTGTGTGTGTATGTATGTATGTGTGTGTATGTGTGTGTATATATATGTGTGTGTGTGTGTGTGTGTGTGTGTGTGTGTGTGTGTGTGTGTGTGTGTGTGTATATATATATATATATATAGTATACTATATATAGTATACTATATATACTTCAAGGCTGATTAACCAAGGAATATTTATCTCTTCCATTTCATTTTAATAATTAATTTGAGCTGTCTCCACTGCTTTATAATATAATAGTTTATATTGGTTTCACAGTTTTGAAAACATGCTTATATTCTTATTTATAATTCTGTTCATAAGCTTGAAGAGGATTAGTGAGTGACAGAAATACATTTATGGACAAGATAGATTCATATATTAAAAGCTGAAAGTTTTTCAATTTGCAATATTTCTGTCTTTGAAATATAGGACTGCATCCTTGAAATGAATAGGGAAAGATGGAGTATCTATTTTTAATTGCTTCTCTGCTATTTCAAAATCTTAACTAACAGTTACATGAGAGATATTTTGGGGTTTGAAGCCATGAGCCATGTTGTTTGTTAAAATAAAGAGATGAAATACATTGAATAGGGTGAGTTGTTACTGTTACTGCAGATCAAGTTTAGATATCTTTGTTGTTATTATTCTGATCAGACAAGGAAAATAAAAAGTCATTGATACTGTCTTCTCCCACTTCATTTGAAGCTAGCAACCTTCTTATGATGTTAATATGCTTGTGTATCTGATGGAATCTTGGGTCATTGTGTTAGTTCCTGTATTACAGAGTTGGATAGGTCAACCCTCTGTAATATGAATCCTGTGATTCATATCATTCTAGTCAGTAGAACAGTTGGGAAAGGCTGGACAATTAGTTTGCACTGTTGCAGCACTGTAGTTATCCAAGCACTAAAAGAGAGGAATGAGTATATCTGATAAAGGTAAAGCCAGCCTAAGAAGAAGTGAATATATGCAAATTTATTAAAAGTGTAATATTAGAACTTGATTTTAGATATTAGATAACAAGAATTGCCTTTGGCTATCAGAAATATGACAGTTCTGACAGTTGTTTGATGCTTGCTGGAATGAGATGCCTGCTTAATATGAATTGCATATGCTGTAATGAGCTCAACACTTCCAACTGAAATTTTAATTTTCAATTAAAATATATTGTTGGTTTGACAGAAAATTCATAACAGTAATGATATATATGCATATATATCATCATATACACATACATAGAAACACACATTTTATTTATGACAGCCATGATAGAAACAAATTTTAAAAAGAGATAACAGAAGGAATGATAAAGGAACACTCTGCCATTGTCTCTATGCTAAATCCTACTTTATTGGAAAAGAGAAAAAAATACATGATGCTATATCTTTATACTGATGGTTTATTAAATATAGTTTCATGTCTGGCTGCTCTGTTAGGACTTTGTGTTTGTGTTTACATTATACCTACCTATGCAGGTATGATGTAAAAAAATACTTAGGCTTACTGATATACAACAAATAAGAAAATTCTGGGCATTCTCCATGCTTTCATAAGCATACGTCTGGTATATATTTCTATTTGTCATGGAAATTAATTTTGTTGGAAATATAGAAATAGAAATACTTTAAGTAATTGTATTTATAATCATATTTACATTTTAAAAATCCAAATAAGTTCAGTGAGTTTATTCACAGATAAGTGGTACAGCCAATGTCTTACAAGCAGATTTTCCCTTGTGTAATAAAAGCTTATCTTGCTATCCTCTTTCCTGCACACACTAGTGTAGTGCCTCAGATGTGCGGTATGCCACAGAATTTTCATAACTTCTAGAGCCGCTTTCAAGTATGAAAGCTAAAAAGAAAATTAATGTGATATATTACTAACTAACCTCATTATTGAATGCTGTAGATGAAAGTGGATAGAGTCCCAAAACGTTTGAAAACCTATAGAAAATAGGTCTTATGTTAATTACCTTAACACTTGGTGTAATGTTAGAAGCTTTAATCATGCCTGGACTTTTTTTTTAAAAAAAATCTGTTTTACTTCCCAATTACTATAATATATTAAATAAAATATTTTGTGGAAAAGGAAGTTGTGCTTCCAATAGCTTAATAAGTTATTTATAATACTATATTTTAAATAATGGAAGTCAATTAAATATTCCCGAGATATAAAGAAGTCAATGAAAAGATTATTATTGGGAATAAATATTTCAATAAAATATTAATTTCTTTAATATTAACTCCCATTTTCATTTTATTACTTAATCCTATCTCTTTTCTACATTTTAAAATGGCCCAAACAGTAAGTAGCTCACCAAAGAGAAATAATCCTTAGTCCTTTTCTGAATTTTTCTTGATTTAACATGTTTCTGTATTGCTTCCAGTTAAAAAAAAGAATCTCAAAACAGTTTACAATTTAAAATTATAGCTAAATATTTAAATCATACATTAAATTTTTTTTTAAACTTTTAAAAATTTGCAATAGAAAAATGAAAAAAAACTAAGCAGTGATGGAAATTTCTTGTAGGCAGGTATATTATTTTTAAGCTAGGCTTTGATTGTTTTCAACCTTTGTCTATATAAAAACATAAAACATTTTTATACTGTTGTTCTAAATGTGCTACAGTTGTGACCAAAACATTTCCTTCTTTTTTCTCAGTCTCTCTCCCCCCCGCCTCAATTAAATAAGTTGTTGATAAGAACACACAAGATGGTGAAAGCAAAATGATTTACATTTCCCTGTTAAAATTAATTTAAGATACCATGTTGAGAAAAATATAGGCGTTAAAGTGTACATAATTTCAACTATAGATTAAATTCCTTTTTAGAGCTAAAAAAGATTACTTAACCTTTTGGCTTTCTTGGGCCTCATTGAGTAAAAAGGAATTATATTGGCCTGCACGTATAATATATAATATAGTTAATGTATATAAATAACAAACATCATTTTTAATATATTTTATTATCTTGTGAGGCTGCATTACTAGCTGTTCAGGGTCGCATGTGGCCTGTGGGTCACAGATTGGACATGCCTGATTGAAAAGATTTATTTATAGATGATCTGTACTCAATATTTTTTAGAAGATATGTGAATATGACTAGTTGATTCCTTTATTTCTCTTTAGAGATGTCAGTCATTGTGATTGTTAGTGCTGTTGAATGATTGACCTAAAATAACTACAAGCATCTGTGATTCCTCAGTTATAAGACTAGTGGGTGTGGCTTTTGAATATAGACCATAGAATATGCAATCATTACTCTAATTGAAAGTGTCTACAGGCTTATTTTTATTTTGTGGGGTTTTTTTCCTACAGTTTATAATATATAATTGTTCTATAATATAGGGGTAAAGAATTTGCAAAAACAAGGTGATATGAATACCTTCAGTACTTTTAATATTTATGATATTGGGATGTTTGTTTTCAATGATTAGGTGCATTTTACAGTACTGCAATATTCAAGATTTTATTTTAGAACTGTGATGTTTAAAATTTTGCTCACATGTGTTAATGGGCAAAAAAGCATTAATATAAAAGTTAGTTTTAATCTTAAGTGTGATCATTGCTCCATTTTTAAAAATACCTCTTTTTAAAACATTAAACATGAAAGGATCCACTGCCAGATGAATACCAAGAACTACAGCTAATGTAAAGTTCCAATATCAAGTTGTATGAGGTAGCAAAGTACTTCAGAAGCTTTTATATAATCAGCCAGTTCTAAATCCCATCCTGTAATTTTTGGCTCTCATTAGAAAAGTATTAGGCAACAAGGAAAGGAAAAGGAAGGAAAGCATGCAAATTTATTACTATTGAGGCAATGGGAGAATAGTTCAAACCACTTCAAATTCTAAACATGTCTGTTTTATCTTGAGTTCTTTAAAAACTGCTTTGTGAAAAACTTCAATAGCAGGATGTTTAATTTCATGAAAATCTGCTTACCGTTTTCCTATACTGGACCGTGTAGCTGTGTGATAAGAGAACACTTGGCTTTGTTTTCATTGCCTGTGTATCATGATATATAACCATGTCAGCCTTATAATATTTATTTAAGTTGCAAACTAGAAGATAGAAACACTGAAATATTAGATCTCATTATGGATTATTTCATGTTGCAACTGCTGTTAATAGAGTAACTATGGTTGAGAAGATAACAGTATTTGTTTTGTAGATTTCCTATCAGCATATATATCTGAACAGAGAAATTCAAAGTTAAAATGTCATAGCAATTATACTGATAGTGTCTTAATTATATGCATACAATTTTTTTAAGTGTCTTAACTATCAGATAAGGAAGTTGCCTCCCTC